ACAGAACACGTGTAGCAGCTATATTACAGAGAAGGCACGTCCAGTGTCCGGAACTTCACTCAGGAACTCTCAAAAGTTGTCTTCAAACAATAGGTCACTTTTTGGCTTATTCTCTTCTTGCATTGTATTCATTTTTATCAAGTGCACATAACTTTGTAATCACCATCATTCTGGTAAAACAGACATTTGTTAGTGCTTGTCACCTGATAACCAACCAAATTACGTTACAATCAATTCACCAACAAACACACGTATGGATGTGTTCAGGAGGTACAACAGTAATGTCAGTGTCTTTCTTGCTTTTAATTCACCTTGACAAGTAGAAAAATTACACTTAAGAGTCTGTTTGAAGTCACCGCATCATTCCAAATGAAAGCGTTCCCTCATTTTGTGGATACTAGTGCGTGGTTGTCGCCATAAAACATTCAGTCATTCGTTCAACAGTCGGACTCTTTGTTTAGGGTAGTCCGCACAGTCAAATCACATACATCAGAAATAAGAAGAAATGTCTCCGTAACTCGCATATAAGACGGTACCAATTCTTTGTTCGACACTTTCGCTCACGAATGAGACTCCAGTAGAATGTGCCGACATTCCCAAGCACAATGCTCGGCTCCGTGATTTAGGTCGGAAGGAGAGCATCCTCAAGTAACTTTCCAATAACTGGGAAGCAATACAGACTAACGTTGGTTCAAAACAACCTCACACCTGCTTGTGTGACAGTGCTATACATAATTCTGCGAGCCTAATCGTCCCACCTCTTCGTCAGGCTTTCGGAGGATCTCATTTTCGTATCACTGATCTTGAGTTGCACGATTTGTTCCGTTAAGCTACTTTTAGAAGTTACTGCTAAGCTTATCACTGTGGTGATGTAGCAGCGCTACCGACTTCGGACTGTGCGCTATCTGGGTACCGAAAAAGACAAGAAGAGGAATACCTTGCACGGTCTGAAACTTTTCAATGTTTTCTCCCGTCTTACCACGACAAGATGTGCAAATAATGTTTAAAAGGCGTTTACCCTTAACCGCAAAAGCAAACATTCATGGACTTGAAAGAAGTCCCACCATCTTTGGCGAAATGTGTAGATACATCGTAACCCAAAGTTGGCGCTTCATGTTTTTTTTAGTATAGCTTTAAAATTCTTCGAAACTGTGCAACAAAGTGCAAACTCTTCTAATCGAACTCCACAATGCACTGTAGTGGTCTGTCTGACCGTCCGCACATGTCGATGTTCTGTGTTTTACTGATCATTTATTGATGGACAGAGCGCCACAGAATATACTATGGACTTTAGTCGGACTTCGTTACTTGGGAAACGAAATTAGCTTAAGCCGAAAAGGCCACTTGCATCCCGGAGTGCATATAAGGTATAACTTGGGCGGTGGTATTTGCATTAAGGAGTAAAAAATTTCGGAGTCAAAAACATCGGTCGCGTTACGGATGGCGTCTCTAGGGTCAAAGAAAAATATATCCACACTTTTGTTTCACACAATGAAAAAAGCACTATGCGTTTGCCACCAGTTCTACGCGTGTTATTGACCAAAAAGCACGTAACCTTTCGGTGGTTTGATCGACAATTTCACGCCACCCAAGATACTGCAAATGATTCTATGTGCATTTAGCGTAGCAGGGTTGCCTCCAAACGGGTTACTACATCGATTTGCACACTCAATAGTTTCTCTTTTCGAAGTATAGGTCCCTGTTTAAAGAACGGGGAGTTCAGCCGTCCAGTATTTCCCTCGTTCATTGGATCTATCAAATCGACTCATTGGTTATCCGAGGCAGGTAAGCTTAATTGCGGCCCCAACTCACAGTAAATCAGGGGGCTTGAAGAGTCATGGTTTATTTCAATGTAGTGATTTCCAAATCAATTCACATGACCATACTATCCTATATTCGTTAGGTAACCCTCTACCAAGAAATAACATTCCTGTTCTACAAAATCTGTCCACACACAATCCGGCCAGATACAAAATGTTTTCATTTATTTACCATGGATACAGTTGAGTGTATTATTGCTGTGTTCACACCTGTTCCATTTGGCGCACCATCGGCGTTCTCATACGTCTAGTCTGGCACAGGGACACCACCTGGAATGATAAGCTGTCTTGATAGAGTGTTCTCGTGTCCGATGTTCTGGGTTGGAATTCGGACGAAATGGTTCCCTTATGAATCCGTCCGAAAATCGGCACATTGGGCAGGGATAACTGAACGTTGACATGTTTCTTAGTGCTTGCGAGTGGCAGGTTATGAAGAAACTTTCTACTTTCAAGATCACTTGGAACCAGTTGATGACTGTCGAATTCATTTTACCGGTAACAATAAGCTAATACCTCCACGTGGATCTGGCATCCCATGCGAGAATGCTACTATATATTATTATTCTGAGGATACGCTATGCAGAAAACCAAAGTCGGAGCATACTTAGAATAGACAGTTGGCTTAAGGTGATGAGTGTCACCGATTTCGGTCGAATGCTGTACGCATTGTGAGTGCGAGATCACGGTGACGTTATACGCATCCATCAGAGTGCTGAGGATAACTCCGACTGAATCAGTGATGCACTCTCCACTCCGTACACATCGATCGATATAAAGATTCGAATATTCCAATGAGTTTCAACCAGCAACAAGCACGTGTTTGGCTGAATGGCGCCAGTTGAGCAAAGGAATACAAGTTAACAATAAGTGAAGTCATAGGACGGCTTCAGAAGCAGTGCTACTTAGTAGGCTAGGAAGTATGAAGTTCTCCAATTCGACCATCCACAATGGGAGTTTGTGAAAAACATTCCGGTAAAACCCCGTTGCTTGCCTTTGAGGTGGAATCCCCTAGCCGATCGATACGCCTATGACCGCTGGATCCGAAAATGGGTTTTTTTGGAAATAGGGTGAGAAAAAGTCCCAAAAATGTTTGTCATGTTCAGCACTTTGAAAGGAACCAATGAAAACGCATTGCTAATCACTCATGCAATTTATGTGAATTACACAAATTTTGGTTCCCCATTGTTACTGAGCCTCACTCACCCGTTTACGCTGCTGAGCTAATGGAAGCATCAGCCGTGGAGTGCTGCCGATGGATGCAACGAACAATATTTGATCACATGCCTGAGTAGGCAAAACTCAGCAATACCAACACAAACAGGCATTTTACAAGAAACTATTAGTTGCCCGTTTTCCTCAGCTGTTCGTCTACCATCCTATTCATATAGCTATGCTGATGATATTGGAGTTAGATGTGATCATAGAAGTCCAGAAACTCGAATGGAAATACATAGTGGATTGAACGAATTTGCTGTTAATGTCGAGAACACTTAAGATATTCTCTCTTCCATCAGTTGAGGTAAGCGCACTTGTGACCTTGTTGGAAGTTTGTTATCGCTTATGATCTTTCAAGACCTACTGATGCGAATTACCCCTAGTCAATGATCGCAGCTGGTCGCTTCACGTTCGGCAAAAATAACCGAATATCTTTTGGTGTCTTCAGGCTAAGGGGGCAACGCCATCTGAACCTTATTCGTAAACTCGTTACTTTGTATGTTCTCCTGCATCGAGGTACGTTTTCATTGTCATATTCCTGGGCCTCCTGTTCAGAGAGATAACATAGAATCTCCAGAAAGCGCTGACATATGCAGTAAATTATCGGTTAATATTCCCGATTTCATCGTACGCCATATCCGATTCCTGCATTCGGCTTAAGGACAAACTTCTGCTCATGCGAACTGAGGCAAACCGGAATTCTATGGTACCCGAACTGTCCCGATATCCCGTTAAGCAAAACTCGGTGAGTGATGCACTCCGCACACATTCGTGCTTAGTGTACTTCCTCTATATGTACTACTTACCATTTCGCCGAGTACATGCCCAATTTCAGATTTTCTAAGAGGTGGTGAGCTGAAAGTTAAATTATCCTGGTGGATAAAACTTTTTAAAGCAGTTGCAGGCCATGGCAATGGCACAGGGACCAGGTCCAGCCGCATGTGACCCATTTAAATTAAATTAATTAATCGTTGAGCTGTAGCACACTTTCGGTGCCTAGCTGCCATGCCACACGTAGGCACGAGGGCTGGGATACTGCCAGGTCGCCCAAGCCTAGACAGGGGGAGTCGAGTGGCAGAGGTCGGGTTCGAACCACGGACCTTCTGGTCAGTAAATTCGCGCTCCAACCACTTGGTCCATCTCGCACCGCATGTGACCCAACGTTCTGTTAAGCACTTGTTCAATCGGAAATTCAATTTGGATACAAGAAGCACTGACGGGCGATGACATATTGGGTGTGGAGTGCCCGGAAACCTACGCATCATCGGGCTGTACGATGAAAATACTTTTAACATCGCGTCAGTCGTATGCGGGTATCCAGACCTACATGTGGACGTGGTGCCGCGTTGTTGCAGGTGACTACCATCTCTAATTAGCGGCACTTTCCCCAGCGCTTCTTACCCAAATCTAAATCTAATCTAAATATACTCAATCAGAGTAGTCCTAACAACAGAACCGTGCCGACGTTTGTGTTGTTGTAAAAGTGAGTAAGACATGGTGTGGGACATGTATTTGAGTTCACAGTCAGTTTACCGCCAACACAGTGACTGCCGACCGCGAAATCGTAGTCATCACCACTCAGGTACGGGGAGCCGCAACAGGAAACATTCATAAACCAAATGCAGTCACACAGATAGATGCCAACAAGGTTGCTAAAAACTCTCATCTGCAAACTAATTTTGTTTTAAAGGGGGACTCAATTGAGGTCCAGTTGGACTTCTCGCCTATGATATCATCCAACTGGATTTGCTGCATGAAGGCGACTTCATAATTTAGTTCGGCAGATATTCGAAATATCATAACGTGCTGTCTAGACGCAACATGCTACTCATAAGGTTGCTTTCGAAGAGTTTTCAGTAACCTTATGGGTGGCGGGTTTCTAAGTGAGATCATCCGTGAAGGATCGACATCGGATTATTATCAGACTGGCCTGCTCTTTCGCCCAGTTTCATAACCGATAGGTGACAAAGATAAAACGAGTTTTATTCTGAAACACTAAGCTGAGCGACAGACACAAGTGAGAGAAACAACATGGAAACACACACCGGTATCGCCCAGGCTAATCAACAGAACAATAAAAAAATCGATAGAGGTTCTAATCCTTGGAATCTCCGGAGCGTTTGCGTACTTCCAACTCCTCTGATTCATCTTGGTGCTCACCTGATGCGTCCACCGATAACTTATGGGTGCCATGCGTTATTACTTCACGTTCCTCGATTTTCTGGGTAGATACAAGGTGGACGTCGAGAACAAAAATATGGAGCAAATAGTGAACAAAATGGTCAACATCACGGTATTGTGACAAGACATCTGACATACGCAAGCCGAATTCTGTCGGTTTTGGTGATCGACTTGCTTGAAATCCACTATAGTCCACAACGGCTAAACTGAGCTGCCCTATTTGCACATTCGGAGGAGAAATCTCAGTTAATAACCACTGCAAATGTCTGAAGATCTCATTTTAGCTTAAACGCAAAAGCTTCCGAAGTACGTGCCTTTTGTCAGCTTTCCTGGGGTTTACAACAACAGACGCCCTGTATCCATATTCATGGTCACAACATTGTGTGTTGCGAACAATTCGCCTTCCTGAAAAGTATCTTTTGCGAGGACACCAAAATCGATGTCCGACACGAACGGCAGCTTACCCGTACGCTGATTCCTGTTAAAATAATTTATTTTGCATGATTGCGGGGACTTGACATCAACCGATTATTACAAGGACAATTAGTGCAGAGTAACCGACCCGTCAAGTTTACACGATTTCAACTACAACAGATGGGACGATGTTTGATATGCGGTCCTGACGGTCACGCGTGGGCATAAACTTTGTATGCCAGTGTAGCAGCTGCGATAGTGGAAAACCCGCAAGGAAGTACCTGTTGGATATATTCAACCCGGTTTGTTGAAGGATTCTCTGTCTCTTTTGGCACTGGATAAACTATTTTCCAGCCAGTGAAAAATTTTCCCGATCATTCGAAACATCAAAGGAAAAAGAAGTCCATAAATTCACAGCCTGCAATACTGACTGCGAGTTTATATTGCTTTCCACTGGGGCTTTCCACTGATTCATTTCAGTGCATATGTAACAAGACCGTGGTCAGGGATCTACGATATTTGGTGTGCAAATACACATTCTGAAAAGAAAATATCAAAGGGAGAATAACCGTTGTCCGTAAACGCACAGTGTGCCATGATGGAGAGATGGTTAATTACCCAACTATGCTGTCGAAGGCTGATCTTAAAGCAGTAAAACTTCGATAGGGAACTACTTGTGCTCATACCCGGTTGATCAAACCCTCCAGTTCAAGTTTTCCTCGTGGATGTGTGCCTGGAAGAATTACCGACGGTGATCAACCTGTGTGATCTTCCCAGTTTGTATCTGTTCACTCTGGAGTCGTATTCCACACAGGGTTTACATCGCCTAAGCCTTGAGTTGGTTGTCAGTCAACACGAGTGTTACATAGGTTCATGGTTGGTCTAGTTCGTCCCAATAGGTGACTGTGTTCCACCACACATGATTGGTTGGTTACCCTACTGATTTGCGTCACAGCTCTGCCCTCACGCGTGATAGTTCATAAAGTAGGAAGTTCGGATTTGGCGCGTTTCCATTCAGCTTTAAAGGCATATGCAGTAGACACGGGTATCACTAAATTGCTACTGTATATCATGACCTGCCTGGAATTCTTCAGTCCGGACAACAGAGTCTGAGCCACTACAGCACCCTTTACTCGATATATTAACAAGACACATGTCGCTGAATTCAATAGCTACAAACTCACTAGTTCCGAAGTCGGACAAGTTCGTGCAAATTATCACACAATTTCACTACCAAAGTGACGATAACCTTATTTTCGAATCTCGAGGACTCGTTGATGGTCGGTGGGAGCAGCCTCGTTGGTGACGCTCGCACACGTGTTCTTTTGAGGAAACTTGCTTCACAAAAGTATGAAAAACACTATAATTACGTTTTAGCCAAAACTGACCGACGAAGCGGAAACATCTCAGCAGGGTTTTCGGCCCAATCTTCAAAGCACGATTCGTGTTTTCAAACTGTTTAGTTCCATGAGAATGATTCAACAAAATATGCCGGTATCGCTATTGAAGGACTCCACCCAGCCTAATACGCTCGAAAATGACCAGGTCAAAGACCTTATTGTTGTTTCAAGGTTAGTTTCCCTGAAAGGTACAGAGATCCACACTGGATTGTTATCAAGAAATGAGTCGAACCCGGGCATCACGAATAGACCCACTCGAAAATGCGGATAGGTGCTGATGCTGAGGCAAAACACTAATATGATCCAAAGCGATGACCAAATCTGTGTACAGCTCACTTCAGACACACAACATAGAACAGCTGTTCAGATATACTCGTCACAGGCGCACACCTAATGCTTACTAGTACTGTGGTCAGTATCATTGTGTCCGACTTTCTGAGTTTAGATAACACGGAAAGCAAACTCAGGGAGGATGGATCTAAAGAGACGAAGCTTTTGGAAAAGTGCCTCGAGAACAGCCACGGAACTTCCACAGAACACTATTATTCGTCAAACGTTGTTCGTACAACAATTACGCCGAATTAACAGTCATTGTGGGAACATGTTGCTGTTACTGTTCCGCTCAAATTGAATTTTCTAAAATCGAGCTTTTTGTTGCACACGTATAGATGATGGTAGAGGAATCGCTCACCGTCATTACACTGACGCCTGTAGCACTGCAGTCGATTACACTTCGGGGTTGGATGCACTTGGGCGATAGCTCAGCAAATGATGGAGGCTATTCGTTCCGGAGTACAGCTTGCTATGACACACTTGGATGATATATACGTCATAAACCCCACCGTTGGAGATCACTGCGTACGTCTAAGCTAAATATTCGCCACGATACATTAATATGGATTTCGTACACACTGGAAACGTGCAAGCCTGTGATGCCAAATATCGCTCACCTTGTCATCGTTATCGACGGCTGCGGTCGTCGGCGCGACCCATACAAAACAAAAGGCATCAGATTAATGCCAACTCTCCGGAACAAAGTCTCGTTTAACTCTTCTTGAGGCTTGTTTAAGCATAATCACGACCTTTTCCCACAGATGCACCAACTCAGAGCCTCAATTTGCACTTGTGGACATCCAGCGTCAGAAAACCTTTACATGCATTCAGCGAAGGTTATCAGCTGGTCTAATGGCAAATTACAGTCCCGGATCACCAGTAGTCGTTAGTGTCGATGAGCCGCACTGGTGGTGCCATCCTGCACCGCATCCCGGATGGACATCAAGACGCAGCAATACATGTTCCGCGCGCGCTGACAACAACCAAACCAAGAAAGAAGGGTTCAATCTTGTTTTCAAGATCTTCCATCGATTGGCACACGACGGCAGGTTTACACTGCACACCGGACTTTGTTTTTCAATTACAGTACCCATAGCCGCATGACAAACAGACTACAATGTCAGGTTAACATCCCATTAACATACGATTTAGGTTTTCTAAAATACTATTTTCGCCCCACTGCGGCAGCGCCCTTCTCCGACGAAGGCCTTGTTGTATCAATCGTTATCACAAGTGTTCCGAAATTTTGTGAGCCTACTTTCAGTAAAAACAGATGCAGTTTCATTGGAAACGATTACAGAAAGTCAACGCTGGTCAGCCATTACATTCCTTGGACACCCATAGTGAGAGCTTCGAAAGATGACGCGTGTCTTATTGGTAATTGCTGATCGTCTAATCTAACCTGAAAGGGATGTGTTCCTTAAAACTCTCTGGGAAAAGGTCAGTTCCATAAAGGACACCGGTAATCAGTGTGTGAAGTTCATAGCTCTCAGGTATGCTTACTAGTCGTTCAAGTGAAGTATGGAGATACTCCTACCGTTTTACTGTTCCAGAATTTGGTGTGCTCTCAACAAATATTGCCAATAACTGCTTACAATTCATTTCCCGTGGATTTACTGACTCTTACAACTTGCACACTATCCAGCGCATACGCATTCCAAGGTGCCATTCGTAGTGAAAAAAGAACGGCTGGGTATTTGTAGATACACTTAAGCAAGAATTGAGTAAAACAGGAGGAAAGTATATTGGAAATAACTGACGAATTTCCACAGGGGCCATACGACGCAAGGCCCATCTTGGCGGAGTGTCAGCGCTACCCTCGACGATCTGAACCAATCACCACACAACGAGAAACGGAACATTGAAGCAGAGCTAACCTTCAGGCACCATCAAGCTGCACGCACGCTGTATCTTATAACAGGTGATTGCCTGTGCGTGAAGAAACCTCATGCAGGAATACCAAACTGGACTTGTCATTTTCATCAACCTACTGACGAAACAGAAACTATAGTAGGTGATCAGACGTACCACCTGGATAGCGGCGCCTACGCATGGAACTGAGCCTAATCAACGACGTATGCTACGCCAATCCGTGCTATTTAGTCCAGCCTAGAAGAAGAATCGGTTCACTCATTGACCAGTTAGTCAAGACGGGTGTTATGTGCAGGATTGGGCTAGCTTGTTCAAGCATATAACTGTTTGTTTCACCTGATTAGTTGGTTCCCCAACTGCTTTGTGTCGCGAGTCTGTACCCCCGCGTGCATCAGTTTACAATACTGCAAGTTCTCGTCTGATTCCGCCTCAAGAGCATTGCATTCATCAGAGGCTATAATAAAATGTGACCCAGTCGCGGTCATCGATCCGCGATTTCGGAAAAGCTGGAACTATGGTCAAGGAAACCAACACCTCGTCGATGGTGCTCATTCCTAAATCACAGCCTTCTAGTGACGCTGAATTTAACAATTGGCAACCTGTCATTAAACCATCCCAGGAAACTTGACCTAAGAAACGGACCTGCCTGAAAAAGATCGATTTAAAAGCACTTAATTAGGTGTGAGCAGCGGTAGCAACACCTAATCAATAAATGAATGATAATGTGTCGGAAACCTAGAAGATTCGCAGAAACTGATACACAAAACATTACCTTAGTGGTACTGGTTGACGGTGATATCGTTGATTTTCGTGGATCTTCCCTCCTGGTGAAGAAGCGGCAAATTTGTGGTCTTGGAGGTACGATGCAGTCGAACAGAATGACAAGAATCTGAGTGAAAATAGGGAAAAACCTTTATCAAAAACGAACTTACTGTCCCGAGCACAAGGCCAAAAATAATAGTCCCAGATCCGATGATTATAAAGGACAACCATGTGGGGTAGCCGGAGTCAAGCAGATACTGGTGAACGTTCTATTCAGAATGTTAACCGAACCGAAACAAAACTCACTGTTATTGTCATGCCGAGTTCCATAAACCGGAAGAATAATTGCATACTGACTACGTGGAGAGAAGTAAAAGCAGTCACTTACTGAAATGTTGATGGTGAGTAGTACCATGGGATAGGCTCCGTGTGAATATACTGTTTCTCGGTCAGATACCGGTGCAGGTCGATGAAGTTTCGTGATCCATTGTATAGCCTGAATACACCATCCTTTACGCTGTTTAGGTGGGGATGAAAGAAAGAAGAGTTGATTATACACACGTGCAATTTGGATAGTATGCCTAGAAAGAAAAAAATCCAAGAAAGTTTCCTTGACCTTCAGTTTCCACGCGTTTCCACCAGCGTGGACAAAACCACCAAGTCATCGTATGAGTCTAAGCAGATGATGAGTGACACTCAGTAGCATATTGCTGAAACACATCTACCGTCTATAAATGACAATTGTGCTCTGACCCGACAAAAATGTTCGTACTCGTCGTATGACACGTGGAATACAAGTCTTTGGTGATTTCCAAAACGGTTGTATATTGTGTTCACTCGAAGTGTACCCGCTCCGATGAAGGCCATCTGGGTCTGAATGCTCAACATAGTGGCTGGCCGCTCGGACTAAGCGAACAGCATATCGACTGGTCAAACCACTGGCAAAAAACGAATCCAAGATGTCAGATTCAACGGGACAACTCCAAGTAATTCTACAACAACGTTAGAAATAGTATGAAGAAAGTAAAATGACGCCGCTTATTATAGTGCTTAGTTCCGACTATGACTCCGAAAAAAATATAGAAAGTTGAATAAACATACAAGGTCATGTTTCAATCTGAGTACGCTAAATTTGGTGACACACGGAAAGTTCGACAGTGGCTACGAAAACTAGGGATAGCTATTAGTATGTCAACATCTTCAAGAAAGATAGTGATGTATACCTGTGTGACCAGAACGAATATGGACACTTCGAGCAAAGCATAATGACTGAAGGTCAATTCGAAGGTCTCATATATTTGACTGGTCCTCGATTGCCACAGGATACAGACATTCGGACCGAGCTGTTGAGTAGAACTGAACCGCACTCGGGGGGTTAGACTTCATAAACTAACCGTCGAATACCAAAGTCCTATCGATCTCCGGGTTGGTGCGGTAATTATTAAACATTCCCGGCACTCCGTCTGACACAGTGTGCAAAGTAACCCCCATAGGCAATAAAATTCCAAACAGGCACCCAGGAAACCAACCAAACCCTTTCGGTTTCGTGACGAATGACACGTTCCGCGTCAGTGTCCTTACCGGATGCACAGGTATGACAGCAAATGCAATCGAAAAGATCACGAAGGATAGTTCGGAGAGTCACCTTCAACACCTCGCGCAGATATTGGCTCGGTGGTCAGAGCGCGAATTTAATGACCGGAATGTCCATGGTTCGAATCCGACCTCTTCCTCTCGAACGCTCCTGTTTGGGCTTGGGCAACCTGGCAGTATCCCAGCCCTCGTGCTCCCTTCGGGTGGCATGGCAATTAGGCACCGAGAGAGTGCTACAACTGGACGACTTTTTAGATACTGACCCTAAAAAACCGAACATTCGCATTATCTTATCATCCTGAGGACGCGAATTCGTCAGCCAGTGAATCGGTCGTACCGGTTACCCTCAGATTTGGTACGGTTCCTCATCTAATCCTGGTTTCAAAAGGGACACGGAAGGTGGATGGAAGGGCCTCAGTCGAAAAACATCGAGTGTACCACTCGTAATTCTTCCAGTGGAAACCTCGACTGACGGAGAAGCTTATTTTCTTCGTCAAGTTTAACGAGGTACAACTCAGTGGAGCTTGTCAAGTCATCGACCACACAGGCCTCGACATCTAAGGCGTGAACTGGATTGGTGAGCTTCGACTTTAGAGAGCAACCCCCAATTCTGCATGTGAAAACCAACTACAGATGATCGTAAGATTTTCATACAAACAGCACATCCTGACGTTTTCAGAGCCACTACCGTTTCAATCAAGCCGAACTTAACACAATGGCTATATATATCGCGACGTCAAACACCGGTAGCCACCCTACTACACTTCGTTTCGACGAAGTTTGTCGACAGCCAATAACAACTGCGACATTCATCTCTCAGTACACAGTCCCATGACAAGGAAGAGTGTCCCATCATCCTCCACAGAAAGTCCAAGGTGAGACAGCAGGAGGAGATATATCACAACAGTCCCATGAGCCTGAGGCGAGAACACCGGGAACCGCAATCACGGTAGAAACCGACTCGAATACTATGCACTGCCGGTAAGATCCCAAGCATGGATCGATTACCGGAATCAGACTTCAAGCAACAAACTACGGTGTTACAGTGGATCCCTCAGGATTTTGAAGGCGCTAACGGACCCGAAAACTTATATATACATCTAGGATCGATATCACATTCAAGACCTAGTGTCGGCAAAGCGGTCTAAGTTTTTGATGTCTCGCTGCTGCCAAGTCTATATCTTTCCGGCTGCGAAAACCTGGTCCGTGTGTACAAAGAGCCCTTAGTTGTAGAAGTCAGGGTCAAAAAGACTCACTTTAACCGACTCTTTCTGCCTAGGAGCTGGCGTTGTGGTGTGAGGTGATTAAATGTCCCGAAACCGGGCTGTCGACATTTCTTGTTTTATTTTTCATTAACCATAATGGTAAACGCCCTCCAGGTGACGTTGCGTGGGGAAACGCAGTTGAGCAGGAATTTGTGGAGGAAGTATAACTGCTGTCACGTGCAGTCATGTTAGTAGACGAGAGTCTCATCAAAGAGCTGTTCTAAGCGTACAGCGCCCAAAGATTTTGGCGATTTCTAAATATTAGCAGCTCGGATGAGTGTACTGGCCGCTGATCGGTTTATCTGTTTCACAAACTTGACAATTGGCTTGCAAGCGTTTCGTCACCATACTAGGGGTTGCCGTTGAGTTAGCCAACAGAAGCTCTGTGAACAGATCGACCGCCACCTGAGCAACCCACCCGAGCTGCCAATGTTTACACACTGCCAATTGTTCTCGTATTCTCCTCATTAGTTATCTCCTAGTCTGGACAAAACATGAAGCTGTAAATTAGCGATCAATGGAGATATCACTGCTGATTTGCATGAAACCGAGTGTGCTGCTATGCGTTAACATACGCCCGGAGAGCAAGATTTGTTCATAGACCAGTAGATTGATCTCAGTGACCCTAACTACGCCTGTTCAGCACTCTACACATTCAAATTAATAGCTTTACCGACCTAACTATGACTTTGGACTCCTGCTTGAACAAGCATCAACTCACGAATTGCAACAAATTGGGAATTAATGACTCACTGAAATAGTGTTGGTAGTTGACGAACAAAAAAGACGAAGCTGAGTACGGGACTTTCTGTGACATCCACAGCTGCGATGTGTACACCAAGACCTGGCTCATCAGATAGCTGCTTCCACACGGCAGAAAACTGTCGACAAGCTGGACACCACGGGGCGAAACTGTGGAAGGGACGAAGGAGACTGGGTTAATTCAGACCGATGAGTCGTTTCAGTGATGACAGAATCTGTATCATTTTGCTGACAAGCCAGCAGTCAACTACAATCAAATGACGAGATGATCAGACGCTGGTAAGTATTGAATGAATTATGATAAAAGTGGTTTATCATACCTCAGAAACACAATTTGGTCACTTTATTCGTAGGTACAGTAGTGTCCACCAATCAGTGTGAACTTATCCATAAATGGTCATCCCTACCTGGGAGAAACCTGAAATCAGTGCTTATCTGATTAGTTTGCCTACATGTCGGGAAAGGGAGACTGTCCGGAAAACTGAGGAGTATCGGCAACAGTGTCTAGTTTCAAAAGGGGGCTAGTAGTGAGTGAGGAACCAGCTTCAGTATAGTCCTAACGACATCGTTGCGCCACTTGTCCTTGGTCGCATGATGGTGGAACATTGACCGTAGAGCAGCAAGCGGAATTCCAGCCTGCTTGCGTTGACCAAATCTTCACAATGCTATATGCATAGATGGAGCATTTCTGGACCTCTAAGGCGCATTCAGCCCACTTTAACACCCTTGTCCATCAAGGAATGGTCCGAGAGTTTGTAAACATAATAAGTCTATTATAGTCTCAGACGTTCGGGCATGTGACTATACATGGAGAGCTCTCCAAAAGCTTCCGTATAGAAAGCGGTGTCTGTTAAGGGTGACCACTCTATCTGTTCCTCTTTACTTTCATGATCGGTGAGATAATGAAACTAATACTGAAATTTTTCAAAACATCGGTGCTCTAACAGTTGCTGACGATAACGTTTTCGTTCTGTAATACGTAAACATTGCTCTTTCCTTCTGAGAAGAGAAGCCGCAGACGTTTTCTGATGAACTGACCAAATTCATCCCGTTCTCTGGTAAGCAGTTTGCGCCCAAAAGCTCCTGGACGTGTAGTTACAGAACACATCACTTACAATCCAAAGAAAGGCACTCGAGGTCGCGGACGTTTTGCGTATCTTGGAAGTTATATTAGTTCCGATTCTAGTGTGACAGATGAGGTCAGTGCACGAATCTGCAAGGTTTGGGTCGGGGTTTGCTCACTTATGGCGAAAAACCGGGATATCTCTGAATCTCAAGGGACATCAGGCTAGAGTAGGAGTTGTTAGGCTATACGGCTGAGACGTAGATTCTGCGAGCAGCCCAGCTGAGACGAATTCAGGTCTTCGATAATCGCCGTCTCAGAACCATTGCTCGTGTAGGTTGGTGTCAATGAACATGCATCAAAACGATTAAAAAACGAGTGTTCGGCTGCACAACGGGGAATTCAATCGAAGATTGCGTCCAGCACTGAAGGCTGCGGTGGTTCAGTCATTTGCTGCACACCCACGATCATCGTTTGCCCAGAAGAACGCCATTTTTGTACCCAGTCCAAACCGGCAGAGGCAGGGACCTGGTCAACCTTTGACTTAGCAGATGAGTATGGAAGCGATTATGACCAGTCCGGGTACTGTTGGCGTGACTTGCCTTACAAGGGGAGTCCATATGATCTTCCGTACATGGTCAGAGATGCTGCGGGATATGACTGCTAATCGATATTGATGGTGTCCTAGTCGTGAAATTCTATCCAGATTGTCTGTAGGCGCCCCGAAATGATTATGGTGGACTACCACTGGGCCCCCCTTTATTCACATTAGGGCTTTCAATTAAATTATGGTTGCATGACAGCGAAGCATCGGTGTTGCATTGCCGATGATGACAATGACGATGAGCTACTACTCACCATAAAACAAATCGAACCATGCCCCATCGTCAGCACATATGATTGTCCGTAAAAGCTAGGTGAACAAGTATAGCGGAATGTTTATCAGTTACATTTGTAGTGGAGCACCCAATGGACAGTTGGTGGCGTTACACTATGTCAGAACACAACAGATCATTCGGTCAGGTGGCTGTCGGCCAGAAAGACAACCTCGCGTCAGGCTGAAAATGTAACCACTAAGCGTTTAGGATGCCATCCCTGTCCTGATTCGACTCTGTCGATAAGGCTAGGCGACAACGACCGTGTACATAGTCGGAACAGAGACTGAATCGACCGACTCCACTTCCGGTTGCCTAGCCTGGGCCACCGTGATTCAAACTCGCTCATTTTCATACAAGAAAGACAGTAAGCAGATCTGGTTGCGTCTGTTCGAAAATATCCAATTTATCGAACAAGGACGATCATTCTTCTCACCATCAGCCAGATTAGTTGAAGTTACATGGAGCCCTGTGTTAAACTCTTAAATTTGGAAGGGACACCTTCGATTGCCAGAAACCGCCAAAGTTTCTCACAATCGAAGAATCAAAAGCAGCTTTCAAATCCAGAAAAACGATCAACGTGGGACGTCTGAAGGAGTAACACTGTTGAAGAATTTGTCTCAAGGTAAAGATATGGTCGATGCATCCTCGAATAGGAAGAAACCCATCTTGATTATCACGAATCTGTCTCTCCCAATAGTCTATCAACCTGCGCAAAATAATGCCAGAGAGCACCTTAGATACGACGGATACTAGACTAATACCACGGTGGTTTTCACATGACGTTCTGGTTCATTTTTTGAAAACTAGGATGACGGTCGAGGAGCTCCATTCGGCTGGTATTCTGTTTTCCTTTAGAATATTCTGGAGTATGGTTGTCAGACAGTTCACCAGGACCTCGCCACCTCCTTTGAAGGGTATGGAGTACAGACCACCCGCGCCAGGTACTTCTTCCATTGGGACATCGGTGTCTCACACTGGGTTTGCTGTTGATGACGGGCTGGCGTCCATGTTCTATTCAGGCCCGTTGGGTTCATCCACTGGTTGTGTTGCATGAGACTAGCGTAACCCGTCGCTCGAGACGACGATTGAGGGAGTGAATGGCCCTTCCACCTTTTACTTACTTTGTCTCACTGACACCCGCGTTCTTTTGACTGGTTGATCGAATCAGCTGAAATAGGGCACGGCTCTTCCATACAGCGAAAGCCTTCTCCATCCCCTGGGACTTCGTAATCCACCAGTGTTCTCTGTCATTCCTCAAGCTCCTGATTATCCGGTGTTTGAGGGAATTGAGTGCGCCATCAAAATCACTAGTTGATTGTATGGCCTTTCTGGTAGCAGTAAAATCTGCTGATCTCGACGATATACAGTGTTCATTTAGTCATGTGGCTTGGACAAACAGTTCTGAACGCTGAAAGTATAGCCTCATTAACCTGCTCCAAGCAATCTTCATCACTGGCGTGACTGTGTGTTTCCAGTATCTTTCTAGCCGGCTCAGCTCGACATTCTGAGCTACTGAAACTTGCCGAAGTTGATGAGTGGAACTCCTTGGCTTTGGCTACTTAATGAGCTGGAAATTCGTACTAGTCAGGAACAAACGATGATCTGCACACAACTGTAGCAGTCGCCCCGTGTTATCCGTCCGGCAATGAAGCATCGGTGTTGAACGCTGATGTCATGCTGTCGATGATGATGATGATGATGATGATGATGATGATGGTGATGATGATGATGATGATGATCCGTACGCTGAGCATCGATCCCAAATCTACGACTTAATTGTGCTTCAAATGAAGTATGACGATACCAACCAGTAAACTTAGTCGGGTTGACAATGCCGCCTCCCTGGACGGGGACGCCGGAATTCAATTCACCAGTGGTTGGTGACATCGGCAGAAATGACCCAATCGCGCAGTCAATGGCGCACTTGCATCAAAGCTATCGCCTTCATTGGGGAGCTACCTAATTCCTGAAATATGTGAACATGCCATCGCCTACAAGGTTTGGCTGTATGTCCCACATTTTCCCACTTTCCGGTGATCGAAACTGTAGCAGCTAGAATCAATGTGCCTATGGTACACAATATGCAGCTGATAAATTGATTGAGTGACCCCTCTACATGCGAATGATTTTTAAGCGCTCCAGCGTTTGTTCTTCGTGCTTCTCTAAGTGAGGCTATTACCGGTAGAAATGAACAACTTTCAATTAATCACATATACCATCTCCGCTAGGCAGTAAATGAACTCTTCCAGGTTCCAGTAACCAAATGCTTGGCTCTAGCGAAGAATCGTGTACAGGAACGTCACGAAGTGAACTGCAGTGAAAAAGAATGTCAAGTGTATATTATCGATCCTACCTACTGACACAGACCAAAGTAGTACGAAATTTACTCGCCGCCGAAGGTTCGTGTGCCACCAGACCATCTAACAGTTCGCTATTCCTGTCAGTCCTGGTGGACTGGATCCACTCTTTACTATAATTCACCTCAAAGACGCGTGATTCGTGAGATATAGCAAAGGAGTATAACATAAAAATGGACAGCAGAGCTGAACGTTTTCTTATCTATCCACAACGAAGCATGTAAGAAGTAAGCCGAATATTGGGTAACACAAAAATTGTTTCTTAGATGGAAACCGCTGGCATTATCAATGTTATCACCATCAACACCACGTAAGCAGAACTGCGATCACAAGCATCGCCAAAATAAGCAGATAATTTTGGATGCACTACAGCCGTACAACTAGAAAATGCTTGTAAAAGCAAAGTCAAAAGCCCAACTGCATTCAGCAGGTGGTTGAGACAGAACTAGCTGTACTTTGGAACTATAGAAAGATCGCCTACCAGGTCAGTGTTCTGTGGTGCGTGGACAAACTTCCCCACTTAAATCACAAGTAAATTCTGAAACGAAAAACTGGATTACTGAAAGCCACTCAGACACAGCAGACAAATAATCGGTAAACAGCTTTTCGAAAAGATGAAAAGCTACGGCTCTCCGCTAAAAATTAATGCCTGTCGGTGTGGATTTCCTAGCATCAATCATGATTTGGGTACAACCTACAACGGTGACAACGTCAGCGCCTCTTGCCTGACGAATAAACCCAGGTAAATATCCACATAAAGTACCGTCCTCAGCGTCCGGGCGGCAGTCCCTTTGAGGTATATGCCGACACTACAAACAGGCGACGGCGCTCAATCTGATTAGGCTGGCGCAA